AAGAAAGCGCCAGCCCCAAAAACCTGGTGACCGACCAGGTGACGGAGACCACGGCCACCGTGTCCTGGGACCCGGTGCAGGCCGCCATCGACAGGTACCTGGTGCGCTACACCTCTGCGGACGGAGACAGCCGGGAGGTCCCGGTGGGGAAGGAGCAGAGCAGCGCCGTGCTGACGGGCCTGCGGCCGGGCGTGGAGTACACGGTCCGCGTGTGGGCCGAGAAGGGCGCCCGGCAGAGCGGCAAGGCCGAGGCCAAGGCCCCGACAGGTAACGAGCTCGCACCGGCACTGCGTCACTGGTCACTCGTAAGCTCAGGGTCTGCCCTGCGTGGGTTTCCTTCTCCGGCCTTGGCAGAGCGGGGTCGGAAGCGCAGGCTGGTGTCCCCCTGTCTTCTCTTAAAGTGCCACGTAATGGTGTACAGTTCATTGAAAGCTAAAGCTCATCCTCTTCTTTAGCTTCGGCCACTAGGGGACTAACCGCCCATCGGCAGGAGGGGGCACACTCTGCTGCTCTTCATTTCCCGTCTCGTACGTCAAGCACCGCGGTGCCTGGCCCACTTACGTCTGGCACAGCCGTGGGGCAAGGCAGCCGGGTCGGGGAGGACAGACGAAGGGTCTGGAAGGCTTGCTCGACGCCGGCGGTCCCACTGGCATGGGCTTGTCATGGGGCTTGACAGGCGTTACACCTGTTCCCTCGTGGGACGCTTCTGTGGGTTCTTCAGAGACGCCTCACCTGTCCTCTCTGCAGTGGTCCTGTGTGACATGGTCTCTCCTACTGGCCTCCTGCCCCCCCTTCCTCTGCCTACACATCTGGGGGTGACTCCAGTGTCCTTCTAGAGGGGTCACCTCACCCTCTAGGTGACCCTCGTGAACCACTTCTGAAGCGACCCCAGGGGGCGCCCCACTGCCTAGCTCATGCCTGGCCCACGGGGACACGCTCGCGTCTCTCGTGTGATCAACCGACGTCCAGGTCTCTTGCAATGCTGCGGCCTCTTGCTGCTCCGCGTCAGAGCAGCCGGCCATTTCTCCCTTCTTGGGGTCTCGGGCATGTGTCAGACGCCGGCGCGTGAGGTTCCCCAGGCGGGTTTTCCCAGCCTTGGCGCTATGGATGTGTGGGCTGGGTAATTCTTCGTTGCCGGGTCTGTCTTGTGCACTGTATGGAGTTTGGCAGCCTCCGCATCCCACCCTGACAATCAAAATTGTCTCCAGATGTTGCCAGTCGGCCTGGTTGAGAGCCACTGCTCTGGAGTATACGTAGCAAGCCCCGAGAGGGGTCCCATCGCAGCTGCTTACTCACGGCCTGGGGCTCGTCCGTGGGCTCCGAGGGAGATTCTCTCCCAAGAAATCCACTCGTTACACCCGCCTCTGGCCTCTCTTCTTTCATAGTCTGGAGACAGTCGGTCCGTCAAGGGCCACAGACCGTTGGTCCTGCGCTGGACATGGGCCCTCGGGCTGGAATGTAGACACCAGATTTTGAGAGGCCACAGCCTAAACCGAGGTGAGAACAACCTCATTTCAACATGCCGGTGAGAACAACCTCATTTCACAAGACTTCAGGGCAATGGCTTTTGCAGCGAACTATTGGGAACAAAGAAATGCCGTCGTCGTCTTGGTGAATGCATTTCGAATACCTCCTCCGTGTGTGGTTTCAAAGAGCGTAATCTTACATTCACAAAGTATCCACGAACTGATATCGTTAACAATAGCTTGTGGTCACTGGCATCCACCCTGTGCCAGAAGCTGTCATATGGGCATGTTATTAACTTACAGATACTATAGAGCACACTCTGTAGGGTGTGCTCCAATTTTATTCCCCCCTGTTTCCCCTTACCTTTGCTTTTGTTTGTTTGTTTGTTTGTTTGCTGTGAAGGTAATTGAGGCAGAGACTGGTTTGTGCTCTATCACGCTTTGAGTTGTAGAGTGACTGTTCTGCGGCTTTAAGCTGTAAACACTGTGACACTTGAACGTTTTCAAGGCCCCTTCTCTACACGACACTTTTTATCTTGATTTTCAGAGCTGCCCAGACAGATACGTACATTAACCAGGAACAACCTCATTTTACAAATGCAGAGAAGTGAAGTGACTTGCCGAAGGTCACAAAACGAGTCAGTAAGTTATGAAATTAGGTGCCTGCAAGGAATGTGGGGTCCCACTGAACCTTCAAGTCCATCTAGCCCGAACCCCAGATTTGCAGACAGAGATGCTGAGGCCAAGCTAGAGGCAGCTGACTTGTCCAGGGCCACAGCACTTCTGACTCCGGGTCTAGAGCTCCCTCCGCTGTCCTGTGCAGCCTCCTCGAGGGTCCCCGTGTCCAGCAGCAGAGAGAAGGTCCACGTTCCCAACACAGCTGAAAACCAACACATCGGCCGGGAAGACCACAGAACAGGAAACCGCCTCATCCCAAGCACCATGGCCATGAGCCCTAACTTTGTTAATCGTGTTTATTGATCATCGTTTTCTTTCAGACATTGATAGCCCCAAAAACCTGGTGACCGACCAGGTGACGGAGACCACGGCCACCGTGTCCTGGGACCCGGTGCAGGCCGCCATCGACAGGTACCTGGTGCGCTACACCTCTGCGGACGGAGACAGCCGGGAGGTCCCGGTGGGGAAGGAGCAGAGCAGCGCCGTGCTGACGGGCCTGCGGCCGGGCGTGGAGTACACGGTCCACGTGTGGGCCGAGAAGGGCGCCCGGCAGAGCGGCAAGGCCGAGGCCAAGGCCCCGACAGGTAATGGAGCTCGTTGTCTGGGAAGGTAAGACCTGCCTTGCTAAGCCGTTGGCTGGTCGAGTGTCGTTTTCTGCTCTGACGCTGGCGGAATTGATGGTTCGTGGAAGAGCAGGGTGGTGGCCCTTTGTGATAAGCTGCACACGCACCCCTCACCTCCCTCTTACACGTCATCTCAAGACGCAGGGCTCACATGTGGCCTTATATGTTGGTCTCGTAAAACTAAATGGTGATCGGTCCCCTCCACCCACCGTTCCTCCAATTGTGTATTTCCTTTGTAATTAATCATTAACTATTTCTTCTTGAGAGGGAAAACTATAAGGAAACCGTATATGTTAGGCTCCGTTAGCTGAGCTCGTTAGCGAAGCGGCTTTTGCTGTGATTCTTTGCAACGAGGAA